TATCACTGGTTTCCTGGGAGAAGAGACAGGCCATGGCCTGATTACAGTCTCTTTTCAGGGAGTTGTAGAGTGTGATAAGGTCTCCCCTGAGCCTCCTCTTCTCCAGACTCAACAATGCCTGTGCTCTCAGCCACTCCTCATAGGACTTATATTTCAGACCCCTCAAACAGCCCTTCTCTGGACACACTCCAGCACTTCCATGTCTGCCTTGGAGCAAGGGGAGCAACACTAACATAGTTCTCGAGGTGCAGCCTCTCCAGTGCTCAGTACAGGGGGAAAATGCAGTAAAAGACCAGCCTGTTCCAACCCCCATGCCAGGAGTAGGGACACTTGCCACCAGTTGTCCCAAACCCCATCCAGTATAGCCTGGAACACTTCCAGGGATGGGGCAGTCACAGCTTCTCTAAACAACCTGTTCCAGTGAGCACCCTCACAGAGAATAATTTCTTCCCAATATCCCATCTAACCCTGTTCTCTGGCAGTGGGAAGCCATTGCCCCCTGTCCTGTCCCTCCAGGCCCTAGTCCAAAGTTGCTCTCCAGCTCTCTTGGAGCCCCTTTAGGCACTGGAAGGGCCTTTAATATCTCCCCAGAGCCTTCTCTTCCACAGGCTGAACAATCTCCACACTATCACACAATACAAAGCACATTTTTGGGGTAGCAGGAGAGATGTGGTACCAAGGGCTGCCGCTGAGCACTGAGAACTGAGCAGCAGATGTATGCTCAGCCAACTTCATGTATGTTCATATCCAAGAAAGCATACCAGCCTAAGACATTTGTGACTAATATTTTATATTGCAGTAAAAAAAGGATATGTGAGCAAGGAGCAGCCACCAGAGTGGCACACAAACATTCCTTGCCTCAGTGAGTCAACTGAGGAGTGACTGATCAACCCAGCGAAGCTGCAGCACATTGTTTATTGCAAAACTTCTTTTTAGGCTGCCGATTTCTGCAGCATAAGAGAGCTCATTCCCATATTCAGCTTTATTCCAATATTGCTCTGGGAAAGATCAGTAATAAACAGCTCTGTTATCTCTGCAAAGCTTCAGGGCCTGGATGCTTTTGCCTGCATGGCAGAATTTCCCTTTCATTGGATTCATTAAGGAGCCTTAAACAGCCTTTGAAACATGATACATTGCACCCTACTTATAAAGGGATTCATTTTTTTGCTTCTTTTCTCACAAAAGAGATCTCAATTTTATCATCTGCCATTATTTTTCACTCACTCAAAGCTGGTAGTGATTTTTTCAGGCAGGAGCAACTGAACCACTTTGTTAAAAGATGAAAAAGTACTTTTGTTCAAGAAATCTCTGAGAAGGGGAGTATTTACATTTTTTCCCAGTGGTTGATTTGTTGTATTGAAAGTTTTACTTGCAACTTCACAGATCACCTTCTTTAGACTTTTCTCCAGACCATTTTTAATTTGTTATGAAAGTGTGATGGTGGTATATAAGCACATAGAGCTTTGCTGGAGTCAATGTGACAGTAAGTCTTGTTTGCAGGAGAATTGGGTACCAGTTGCAAAAATCAGCTCCTTAATCAGCTTTTCAAAGAGGCCTCAAACCTCAGGTGTGAGTTTAGTTCCCTGACCTTGAAATCTGGATATACCCTGAGTGCTTGGAGGCATAGAGATTTCCAAACCATTTCTAAATTTCAACAAGCTAAGAAAACTTCAAAGTGTCTTAGAAAATGTTTCAGGCTTGTTCTGGAGAAGGCTTTGAAATACTTTCAGGAAAGAGCTCTAAAAGGCTTCTGAGTAACATGGGGCTCATTTTCTGAGTGGATTTTCATATGGTTCATCTACAAATAATTCTCTTTCCTTCCTGAAAAACACACAATAAGTCTACATAATATGATCCCCCACATTAGAGGGGTCATCAATTAAATTATCCCTTCCACCCACCTGGCAGTGCAGGATTGTTTTCTACAGCATACAGTGAAATCCAACACATCCAAGGTGTTGCAACTTAACCATCAACCTCTGTCCTGTTTCCATTAGCATGCTATGAACAAGAACCAGACCTTGGGAAGAGGGAGGAGGAAAAGGACTTTCCCTGGATATGCCGCAAAACTGCTCATTTTTTGTCACAAAAATGCTTCAATATGAATATTTTAATCAAGCAATAGGAAAAGGGAGCGTTAATGGCATATTACCCCCTCCGAATCCAATCCCTCTGGAGGCAGAAAGCAGGGCTGGAAAATACTGAAGATGACCAGATCAAAGTCTCCTAGGTTGTGGACACAGGGGACTGCACTGTAACAGCCTAGGCATGGATTGACCTCTGCACCCAGAAAAAGGCCAGAAAGGAAATGGAAAGGTGGTTGAAGAGAGAGTAGACCAAATGAGGGACCACAAAAAAAAAAAACAAAACAAAACCACAAACTTTTTGACTTCATTGCCATGACTGGCCTTAAAAACTATACTACTTGGAAACAGCGGGAACTACCTACAGAAAAGTTTGATGTGCCTAAAGATAAAATGTTCAAATGCCTCCAGGACATGACCCATTAAATAAAAACAGGTTTGAGCTATTCCCATGTGAGCATTTTTACATCTTTCTAGAGTAAATATGAACCACATTTTGCCATGCCCTTTCTTTTGAGCATTCCTTTTGTGCCCCTTTTACCTTATCCCTGTCACTAGGCATTATGTCTGCAGCTCTGTGGCAGGCTGGAACAGAGTCACCACATTTAAAATGCATTTAGGCACTCTCTTCATGAGAGAAAATTTGCAAAGAGAAAAAGGCATCCATGGGAGGAGGAGGCTGGGGAAGATCCCCTCCCTTTCCCTGCTCCCCCCAGGAAGTGTGAACAAATCTTCAAACACACTGTGTTTTACATTTATTTCCTCCAGTAATTTAGTTCAGGAAAGGAGTTGCTATGGCTTGTATTACACATGCCAAGACACCAGGCATCTTCTCAAGAGGCTGCAGATGGACTGCATGGACAAGCCCAACTACACATGACCTTAAAACTTGGTCTGAGTGATGCCTGAATCTCAGCACTGGACTATCTCACCCTCCTCCCCTCCCATGGCCATCACCGTCTTGCACATCTGAGAATGAGGAGTATTTTTTGACAAGTTTCTTTTGAAAGTCATCCTCTCCTGCCTTAATATCCTGGTCTTCTAAATCCTCACTCAAGCTCACTTCCTGTGGACCCTTGGCTGGCAGGTTCACAACCATGGCTGTCATCCAGCTTGGGATAAACAGACGCCTGCAATACACATTTTCCTTTCCTCAGAAGGAAAAAAAAAATTCAGGACCTTAACACGTTTTTCATCCCTAGATGGGATAAAAAGTTAAAATCTGCTGTGAAATAGGATCAGATGAAGAAGTCACACCTTCCTGTCCCTTGAAAGGATTTCAGCTCATGAAATTTGCCAGTTTTACTTGGCAAATCTGTAATGAATTCAACTTTGTTTTGACACAACCCGTTCATTTAATGCAATTCCTATAAAACTAATTTCCAAATAATCTTCACCGATTTTTTTCCTTGCAAAACAGAAGGCACAACAAAGAGGTATTTTTCAAGGCACAAATATGTCAAAATCCATACAAATCCACAAAAACTTCACTTCCACTCAGATGACATTTTCCTTCAAAAACCAGTTTCAATACAAGCTTTTTCCCTGCTATTCTCAATGACTCATAAATATCTTCACTTGATAATTAATGCTCCACTGGCAGTAAAGGTAAGTCTGGTGTTCCCACCACAGAGATGTCAGATAAGTGCTGTTGTAAAGCAGTCCAGCCACTGATGTCAGAGGATACAGGACATTAACTGTCATAAAACATCAGGGGACAAAAAAGACAGTCTTGCCTCACTCAGCTGTCTTATCTACTGATCAGCTCCACCAGTTAAATGCTGAAGCAGAATCATTTAGGCTGTAAAAGCCCTCTAAAATCATCAAGTCCACAGCAGTGCCAAGCCCACCACTAACCCATGTCCCCAGCTGCCACATCCCCACATGCATATATTGTTTATCTTGTCTGCATTTGGATCATTTCATTTCAGCAAAATCTTCTCTCCATTGAACCATAATGGTCCAAATACCACTATGTCCATTAAAAGGTAGGCATCCCAAAAAAGGCCAGGCACATACTCCTTGCAACTTGACTGAGCTGCCACCATGAGATAACAAAAGAGCAAAAAAAAATTATGAGAACTATCTAAGGAAAGGTAAGCCAGAAAGACAGCAACTAAAGAGAGAGGTTGAGATCCAGCCATTGCAGCCACCTAACAAAAATTAGGAAAATTCTAGAAACACACACTTTTTTGGCTGTTGATGGGTCAGCTCTAGAGCTGTCAGATGGGCCTGCCCACCTAGAGATGCTCAGATTGTTGAAATGTTTAATTAGTTTGTCTTGGAGGAAATTAAACAGACAGTAGGAAGAGAAAGGCACACCTGTCTGCTGTGAAAGGGGACAGTATGCTGCCCAGTGGAGGCTGGCCTTGATCATAATGACCTTAAATCCCTAATATTAATGCAATAAAGAAATTTCTCTGCAGAGTCATAAGCAATACAAACACACTTGGGCCTTTAATTGCAGTAGAAGAAAAAAAAATTAAATATCATCTTTGTAGTGTTGTTTTTTTTTTTTTAAGACAATCTAGGAATGCTGGTTCTAACTGGGTTAACATTTGCCTGCTTAGGAGAGCCATAGAATAACAACTCTTCTAATCAGCAGTGGCTGCAAGAAATGACTGAGACTCGGCACAGTATGGAGCAGCTACTTGATCCTTACAAGTTCCCGTGGAGGTGAGCTGCCTGGGGAATTTTGAAATGTATCCTGTGCTTGATTGTGTAATGGAAAATGTGTCAGCAAGCCCTGTTTGTCCACAGCCATCATTAACAGGATTAGGCACTGGTAAACCATATTGTATGTCAGAGATGTGCTTTACCTGCATGTGTATGTCACCCTTATTCATACATGTTCCCCTCTTGCCCTTTTCTCTTTGCCATCAGAGTACAGTGAGCACCCACTGCAGAAGTCCTCACCTGTCCTGGGTCCCATGTGACCCCACTTTTTCATTCTTCATGCAGAAATCGGGTGAGCTCTGCAGATAAATCAGCTCTGTCTCCTTAACTGGTCTGATATCAATATCCTTTGGCACGAGGTATTTGCGTGTGCCCATGGGCCGGTGAACAACCTTAGTGGCAGATAAATATTTGGTTTTGAGGTCCAGTGCAATGTCTTGCAGTTCTTGAAGGCCTTTCCAACAGGTCTTGATAGAGCATGACCCAGAAACTCCATGGCACTTACATTTCATTTCAAGAGAGGCTTTCAAGACCTGCAAAAAGGAATGCAGGAGTTAGGAAATGCCCTTCCCTTACTGCCAGACATCCCACTAGCTTCCTAATGAAGGTAATTCCTTAGCAGGAACTGCTATAGAAGAGTACTGCTGTTCTCACTTCTGCACAGGCAGTCTAAAGTTGCTACTTTGCAAAGTGAATGAGATCCTGCAGCTCTTTGGGGATCACTATCAGTCCAGGACTTCTTGCACAAGTGCTCCTTTGCAGCCACAAGACAGAAGAGTATTTTGAATTTTGATCAGCTATCTATATTGGGCTGCATTTCCACCCTCTAAATTCCTATGGAGATGAATATCAAAGCAGGCCATAATAATAGATAATTAACATCAATTTCAATCTCCAGCAGCTCTGGGCTTTGGTAAGAGAGATGTCATGGCTTTATTGAATTCAGTGCACTCTCACCCTGCCTTTCTGCTGGTTATGGGGCCAAAATAGCCTTTTACTTTGATTCTGTACTATTCTCATTTCTGTGGAACATGGCAGGATGGCAGGAAGGGCTGAATGCACCAGCCATGGCAACTCAATGTCCCAAACAAAAATTTGCCCTTTGCAATTGAAACAAAAACTCAAGACCTTACAAAAATAAAATAAAAATTTTAAAAAAACCCAAACCCCAAGCAAACAAATCCAATAATGTGGGAATAGCAAAAAAAAAAAAAAAAGAGCCTGGGAGGGAAAGTTCAGCATGGCTGTGCTCTGAAAAGGTGGACTCAGCCTGTAGCTACACAGCAAGCTCCCAATGAGCTCAGCATGCTCCAAGTTTGTCTGCAGAGGAAGCCCTGGAAGGACCAAGCTGTGCAGTAGGAGCAGTCTGTGGAGCCACTGGAGCCCCAGAGATGGGTGCAGGGATCAATTTTATATCCCCCCCCATCCATTTCTTCAGCTGCATGGAGGGCTGCTATAGGGATTTGCACATAAGTGCACACCAGGCACTGCACATGGTAAATATTATCCCTCCACTGGATGCAAGCTGTTAAAAGCAGCTTGTGCCAGATATGAGATAATCACTAGCATAGCAGTTTAAAAAGGAAAAGAATCCCCCCTCCTGGCTGTAGGGATGGCTGTAGGCAACTACTGCTGGATGTATCTGGCAGATGATAATCCTCCACATTTACACAACATTTTGCCTGCCCAATGCCCTTGGCAGAGCATGATGGGACCCGTCCCCACCACACCTCCTGGGGTAGGCAAGCCACAGTCAACCTTGGCTGTGCAACAGGTGGCAATGAGACATCTCACCCATGGTTAAACAGGGCTGATAATAGCATTTGGGACTCCCTGAGTCACAGGGTGAGTTATACAGACACCATTCTCAGCACATCAAAGGAGTTCAGAGCAATCTGGGAGAAACCTGCTCCCTTCACTAGAAGAAGATAGAGACACTGGACCTCACTGAGTGACCAACACTACACAAGTACAATAACTCTTGTGGATTTGTTACCTGTCTCCCTACTTCACTGTTGTGCAGATGCATCAGTTTATTGGCTTGTGATCCTGATTTTTTCATCTTCATGGGAGCATCTGAAAATTTGGACCCCATGATAAGACCATAGTTGAGGTTGTCTGCACATCCTCCCCATCGATACCCAGGTCCAGGTGTCTCACCTGGGATGGGACCGCAGGAACAGCCAGGGAGGTCCCCGGTGGTGCAGGCTCTGGCAATGGTGTGGCTGATGGCAGCAGCAGACAGGGCATACACAAATGCTGACTCCCTTGTGCCTGGAAGAGAAAAGAACTCCAGCTCAGCTTCCTGGGCCAGATAAACGTTCCCCAGAAAAATACTCACAAAGTCTGTGTCCCACAGAGCAGCCAACACACCAGCTCTCTGGAGCTGAGAAGTCCCATGGCACCACTAACTAGTGGAGCACATCTCCTAAGTGAACTCTTCAACATAAGACAACATCCCAGTGGGACAAGGAGTCACATGGATTTAGGCATCTTGTTCACTGTGGTGTGATTTGTTCTTAGAGCATGTGGATAAGCCCTTCCATGGAATCTCCTGCCTCCTTTTGCTCCTGTGCTCATCCCATGACTCCCAGTGGGATGAGCAGACCAGAATGGTGGTCCGCTTTGTAAGAGCTGTGGCAAGCCAGGTCTTGGACCCAAGAGCCTCTAGACATGACTGGCACTGTGATGATGAATGTGGTCTCAGAGGACAGGACAAGTGAGCTTTGTAGTCCCTCCATGGCCTCCCAGGAACAAGACCATTTCTATCTCCAGCACACACATACATACACACATACACAGGCTGACTCTACTGACTCCAGTCCCAAGTGAGCCAGCAGTGCTGTTTACCTCTCTCTAAGTCCAGCAAGTAGTTAGGAGCCAGCTCTATTGAAGAGCAGTTCCACCGCATGTCTGAAAAAGTTTTACGGCAGGTTTTTATCACTTCTCGTGCTGCCTGAATAATGGTCTGCATTAGCTCCAGGTTGCTGCGGCACAGCTGCACCTGAGAAACCACCAGGCCTTCAAGCTGCTTGCAGTGCTGGGTTTGATTCAGGGCCAAAACCAAAGGAGTCTTGGACAGAGCTCTGAGGAGACAAGCACATGCAAAAAAACCATTAAAACACAGTTTAGTCACCTATGTCCACCTGACTTAATTAAAGCTTTCTGTAAACAGGTGCCTAGATAAAGCTGTTGAGAAAAATGAGCAACTATGAAGAGTGATTTATCTCATATAAAGTAGGTATTTAAGGTAGGTGGGAAGAAACACCATTTAGCAGTGTGTGCAATTCTCTCCATTACTGAGGGGAGTCTGCACAAAGCTCCAGGGGCATATGTCAAGTTCAACAGGATAAATCCTATGGGGAATGTTGTTTGCTGAAGAATGAAGAGCACAGACCTCTCAACAGAGTAAAAAATGACCCATCAGTTCCATGATAAAAGAAATCTGGATCCTCCAAGACTGTGGCATTTGGGAAAAAAAGCAACATTGGTGTTATCATTACTTTGCATTCAGCATCTGTCTCACACACTCTCAAAGGATTATGCTAAATGTCATGCAATTAATTATGGAGAAAATCCCCTGTGAGGCCTAGGGAAAAGTCACCAAATTTGCAAACATATGCTTTCACTTAGAGTTAATGCCAAGGGCCTCCACTGATTCAACCACTGTTGCACACAGATAAGTCTGTTTCTCTAGTCTCCAAAAATCACAGTGCAAAATCTCAGTGGGATAATGTGCAGAAAGAGTAACAAAATCAAATCCAAGAAGGGATCCATGAATACCAGCACATATGTTACCATGGAAGAGAAGAACATCCCACAGTGGTGGCTCTTCTACTATCCAATTGCCAACTTTTCCAGGTCAAAAAAAGAACAAATGCTGATATGCACCTTATAGGGCTGTACCCTTTTTCCTGAGCACCCACAAAGATCAGCAGAAGTCTGGTGTGTAACTCTTTGTATCTTTATGGCTTTCTTAGGGTAATCAAAAAAGTTATTTATTCCCATAAAACAACTTTCTAGCTGGCTGCATCAATAATCTGATGGCATCTGATCACAGCAACACAACTTCAACACATATTTACACATTTTTAACACATTTTCCTTCTCTCCTTCATCCCAAGCCATCTTGGTTAGTTTGGCTTATTAGCAAACACATTTTGGGGCGCATTTCACTTTATTACTGTAACATCCACATTCTTCAGAAGTTAAATGAGATGCAAAGAGAGCTAAAATGGAGCTCTAACCAAAACTGGAGGTATTAAATCCTTGCTGGGGATGAACAGGCCTACACTGACAAATTCCTGGGTGACTGGAGTTTGCCATTTCTGGCACTAGATAATCAGTGGCAAACTTGGAAGGGAAACTACCACTCTGCTAGCTATATATAGTTTATACCAGTATTTAAGAGGTGTGTTAAACATACTGCAAGCAGAAAGCATTGCCAGTGAATGTCGAGGGAAAGGAAAAAGTGGTGGACTTGGCAGTGTTAAGTTATTGGTTGGACTCAAAGATCATAGAGGTATTTTCCGACCTAAATGATTCTATGATTTAATCATCAGAAATTCTGGCCTGCAGTTCCTCTTGGTCCCATACACGCTGGTGCTCATAGGCACATGGTGCTCCCTGTTTGGCCCCTCCAGAAGGCAATTCATCCTGCCTTAGATGTGGACCTGAGCTGGTGGATAAAAAAACTTGTTGGTGATAATACTGTGTGTTCCAGTATCTCAGAGAGATCCTTGAAGATGTCCTTGAAAGTGAGACATGAGCCTCTGAATAGTATGACTGTCACCTGACTGCAAACCTCTGCAGTGCAGACCTCACAGCAGTCCTTCAGGATCCTTCTTAAGCTCATGGAAAGCAAAAAGCCACATCGAGGCAGTAGTTAGCCTTTTGTGCTTTTGAGACCTATAGTAAGATACCATCATGACTTAGAAGCACTTATTTTCTGCTCTATATAGGAAACACAGACACTGAGCAGGGACACAGATATCTGAATGGTATAAGCACAGAGCTGAATGAGATATATCCAACCCCTAGCACTTGACACCAGGAATCTGTGAAAACTTATCCCAGAAAGCCTATCAGCAACTCCCAGGAATGAGCTGAAACACAAATCAGGCAAGAAGCCAAAGCAGCTCATCAGTAATAGAATATAAATGATAAATACTCCAGCACAGCATGTCCCAGCAGCAAGGGAAACAGGCAGGGTGTGGCAGGAGCAGAGAGAGAACTTCACAGCCTGAGCTTCAGGCAAATGAGGAACATTCCAAGTCTCTGAGAGAGGCCGTACTATGAGGCAGCAGCTCAGTTTTCTAATCAGGTGTGTAAGGTGGCACTTGAGAGGCCTTGGAATGTTTTAGCTGGCCCTGAAGTAGGATTCATGTATCTCCCTAGGCCTGCATCACATTTTCTGATCCTTCATAGAGGTCTTCAGCCTCTTTAAACAAACTGGAAGGCTACATTGAGGTACCTCTATCTCACTGTTACTGACAAGTCATGAACAGCACAAATAATCACCTACAGGTAGCAATGAAAGCAGAATTCAGACCAAAACTCATCCTCAGTGTGAAAAATCCGGATGTGATACAATGAGACTGTATTGTTACAGATGGCTGGAAGTGATCACCATTAGAGAACCAGATTTCTAATGCAACAAGAAAACCATTTACTTCATGGAAGAGGGAAAATTCCTTCAGATTGGTAAGAACTCCGTAAATGGCAGTAACAGCTATTATAGAATGAGCAGAACTCCAGGAAGCCTACTCAGAATAAAACTGCAGGATGCAGGAAGGTGTTTTCTGAGCATCTCCCAGGCTTGAACTTCATGTTTTTGCTTATGAGAACATATAATTGGGAACATCTCCAAGCATCAGGAGGAAAAATTAAAAGGTAAAATGGAAAACTCAGTTACTGGAGTCACTTGCTGAGACTGAAAAGTGCATTTATAAATCACAGCTCAGGAATGTGAAGAGATCTAGTAGGTCATCTAGTCCATGCCCTGACCACCTAGGTTTGCCCAGTCTTTGTCCTACATTTAGGAAAATCTTCTCCACTCCATGTCACTCTAAATCCTCCCTGTGGAAATGCACCACCCTTCTCTGCTTCCTAAATTCTGGCAGCATCAGAGGATGGATATCCACTGCCTGCAATGACATTATTGGGAAACAATGTCCATTTTTGGAAAGAAAAAACACTCCCCAGGAGAGGGTGGTCGATGGTAGGATTTTGTGGTGGGTATCTGGCCTACTTTCACCCAGTCTCCACTGATCACCAGCACTGAGAGGGAAACTGGAGCCAATGGGGCATAGCCAGCCTGAAAATCCAGCCCTCAAGGGCATAATTAGAAAAACATCCTTCATTCGTCAACCTGGGAAAAAAAAATCCCTAACAAACATTTTTCTGTGGACTCATACCCTTCATCTGAAAAGGGGAGTTTACCACCTTTCATCCTGGAAATGTTTTTCAGTATTTCCTCCTGATAACACTGTGCTCTTCTCACTTAATTCCCCTGCCCCATCTCTCATTCTCCAGACAACCAAGGGGTAGTTGTTTCAGGATTTTTAAAAATATACATATTTGATCCATCCCTTTAAGTATACCGGGCCTAAACCAAACATCTCCTGGTCTATATATAACACAGAAGGTCTTTCAGCTGAAATTCTGGATACTGACAGAAAACCATGATCATAATTACAGAGGAAATATAGATGGATCATGACATTTGTTTATTCCTTTCATTATCTCAGGCAGTTATTAAATTAATTTAAAAACATTAATGCTCTGCAGTGTTAGGTTCTTTGAGAGGTATGGGCCCATTCCTGCATGTCTGGGCCCCATGAGAGGACTATTCTTAGGAACTGCAGGTTAGGAAGAAGCACCTTCAGATATCAATGAAAGTCATATATTATTTGATTTACAAGGTACCCTGTGAGTAGGACACTGCTTCTGGTTGAGCCAAAGGGAGTAAAACTCCTTCAACTGAGCAGCAAAGCATTGGTGTCCTTTAAAACACCCTTGAAGAGTCTTCTCTCTGGAGGCATCTCCCCACCTTCCCCTGTGTGACATGATCTGAGAAAGTCTCACAGAGGGACTGATGGTGAAACCGTGAACTTCTACTCCAAATTACCAGCTTTGCTTTCTGAAAAGGCATTGGTTTTAATGTCTGTTCCTCAACTCCTTAATCTTGCAGGGATGTGGGTGACACAAAAAAATTTAGACAAAATGACATGGCTGTGGAGAGTGAAGTGAGTGGTAAACGTTAATGGAGGCAGAGATTGAGGGTTCTTTTTGTATTTTATCTCATTGAAGGTTTTTAATCTGCAGGAGCCTCATTTTCTCAGGTTTTCATATGGAAAATGCATTCAGTGGTCTTACAATAACCTTGTCCAAGCTTCTGGTAGTCACAGGCAGCCCATGTCCCTGCCACCCTGCCCTGCCTCAGTTCCAGTCTGGGAACCACAAGTCCTGGGAAAGATACCACATCCCCTGGTAAATGTTTCCCCTGGTTCTGCAAGGCCTTTTGAAAAAGAGGAGTAGGATTTATGTGGTTTAAAAAAAAAAAAAAAAAAGAAAGAAAGAAGAGGAAGAAGGAGAGAAGCATGTGTGGGGGGAAACCAACCCTGAACTAAAAGCTTAAAATAAGAGCTGTTTTCAGATATGGTGCCAAATTCAGTGCTGGCAGTAGTGGGCACAAGGCCATTGACTTCAAGCCCAAGCTTGACTGAAGTCAATGCCAGCAGTGAGCTGGCTCACTGAGTGCCAAGCAAGGCCATGGATCTTTGTCAACTTTCCCTGAGCTGCCTATGGAGTGAAGAACAAACTTCAAAAACGTGATACCTCCCCTTTCCTCACCCCCAGCCTATTCCCCTCCTGCCATCACCATCCTGCAGTTCTTTCACAGCAGCTCATCTAGCAGTCCCCTGCCAGGCAGACAGTCTCCTCACAGGCGCCCGTGTCTCCACGTCCCAGCTTCCTCCCACTACTGATGGAAGGAGAGAAGCAGGAGCTGCCAGGAAGCACAAAAACCTTTCCATCTTCTCCCCTGCTTTTTGCTGGCTGCAGGAGGGCTGCTCAAGGTTGGTGAGCTGGGGGACATCATGTGCTCACCAAAAGTGTGCTTAAGCTACCTTTTGCTTCTGAAGGGCTGCAATAACCATAGGAATTGTGCAGCAGTAGCTGGGAATGGGGTTCAGCTGGGGCACAGGAGCACAGCTCCAGAGCTTCAGCTTCAGAGCACATGAGACATGATTGGGTCACCACAATAGGGACAGACAGAGACTTCCCAAAGTGACCAACTCCACCTGAAAATGAAAATGGGTATTCCTATGCCAGCACTTGCTGTCCTGGGCACATTCTGCAAGCCATGAAAAGAGGGAGGGGAAGGGAAGGGAAGGGGAAAGGGAAGGGAAAAGGGAAAGGGAAAGGGAAAGGGAAAGGGAAAGGGAAAGGGAAAGGAAAAGGGAAAGGGAAAGGAAAAGGAAAAGGAAAAGGAAAAGGAAAAGGAAAAGGAAAAGGAAAAGGAAAAGGAAAAGGAAAAGGAAAAGGAAAAGGAAAAGGAAAAGGAAAAGGAAAAGGAAAAGGAAAAGGAAAAGGAAAAGGAAAAGGAAAAGGAAAAGGAAAAGGAAAAGGAAAAGGAAAAGGAAAAGGAAAAGGAAAAGGAAAAGGAAAAGGAAAAGGAAAAGGAAAAGGAAAAGGAAAAGGAAAAGGAAAAGGAAAAGGAAAAGGAAAAGGAAAAGGAAAAGGAAAAGGAAAAGGAAAAGGAAAAGGAAAAGGAAAAGGAAAAGGAAAAGGAAAAGGAAAAGGAAAAGGAAAAGGAAAAGGAAAAGGAAAAGGAAAAGGAAAAAAAAGAGAAAAAAGAGGGAAAAAAGGAGAAAAAAATAAAGGAAAAAAGAAAAAAAAATCCCCACATTGAAGGGGATAATCAATACAGAGAGACAGAGGAGATGCCAGCCCCTGTGGAGGCAGAAGTGCCTCAGAAGCTACTCTGTGCCTGGACATCCCAACATCTGCAGACCTTTGGGGCATGCACATCTGGCTGCAGCTCCCTCTAGTGCTCATCTGCTTTTCAGTTCTACCCAAATATGTTTCTCCAGCATCTGCTTGGTCAAACCCAAACTCTCCTGGGAAAGCTAAATGAATTGCAAAAGCAGATGGGGAAGGTGACAGAATTGCTAGGAGCATTGGCCCCAAGACATAGCTCATGAAAACCAATGGCTGCCTCACCTTCCCAGCCACTGTGACAAAACAGCACTGAGCACCACAAAATGATGTAGCCTCCCCACACACCTGCTTTGCTCTAAGGATGGGAAACTGTTTGCAAAAATAAGACACAGGGTTTCATATACATTGATGAGAAAGGCTGCATCTCCACAACAATCCTGATCCAGCAAAGATCTGGAACCATACTCTGCCTTGACACCTCAGTAGCTCTCTGGAGCTCAGATGGAAGAGCACAAGATATGAAATTTCTTCAGCAAGAGAAATGTACACAAGAGCAAGAGCATGCATACAAGATACTGAATGCCCACACACATGCATGCTGGATGTTTGGTGGGTCCCAGCACTAACTTCCAACAGTTGGGGATCTGGACCACAGAACTCATAAAAATAAGCCAAGTAAAATAAATAATTATTTTTGTTACCTTCTCCCTGCTTTTACTAATTTTCAGGGCATCTTTGTGTTACTGAGAATTCCTAAATGGCTGAAAATTGTGTTTTTCTTGTTCCCTTCCCCCTGCAATTACATCACACACTGAATCAAAATTAAATTACCTATCACCTTTCATATGAGTCAATCCCTCATCTCCAGGCCAGTGAAACCCACCTTCTTATCTCTCCCTTCCCCTCCCAAATCCTCTTTGAAGCTAGCCTCTGGCACCATGCCTACAAAAATGATGCAGGGGGCAGACTGCTGAGAAAAGCCCACAATTGAAAACATCACATAGCACTTTCCACCTTCATCCCATCCTTTTTCCTCACGTCTCTGTTCATGAGAGAGACAAGGAAGGAGCAGATTTCAATTGTATGGCACCCAGAATATGAGTCCAGGGCTGGGATAAGCAAGTCTGAGGTATTACCCAGTATTTGGTACTCTGTTTGCCAAGAATTTACCCATGCAATTTCTAAGGACAATCCCTGAGCCCCAAGGAAAAAGAAGGATGGGGAGTGGGAAAAAATTAGCCTGTGTTTCCATAGGAAAATAAGAGTGGGGAAATGAGGAGAAACAGCAAATGAAAGAAAAAAACAAACCATTTTGTGAAATTCCAGCTGCCAGCATCCCAGTTGCAAAGTGCTGTGGACAGGGAGCGCAGGTCTCTACCGAGTTTTAAACAGGTGTGAGGGGAGCTCAGCGGTGCATCTGCATGCCATTCATGCTTCAAATACCACTTTAATCCAAGCTTTCATCTTTCCCACTCACTTTTTGATAGGGGGGATATGTCTGCTGGGAAGGGGAGGAGCAGCAGCTGTGGTGTCTTGCCTCCAAGTGCTTCTCCCCCCACTCATCCCCAAAAGCAACCCTTATAGCTTAATCACTTAGTAGCCAAAAGGCTGCTTTTGACAGCAAGCCTATTAGGGACCTTGCCTTGCCTCCCAGCATTTTTACATGTCTATGCCTTCTCACCATACTATCAGGTTCCCTCTGGAGCTCACCTCACCCCTGCCCTTTGGAAGAACCCAAGCCCTTCACTCAGGATTAAGCACCTTGCCTAAGTGGGACACCAATGCCAAGCATATGGACAAGTCCCTCCAGTCAGTCATGGTGCTACACATAAAAGTCCTGCTGAATCAGGGTGCCACAAAACAGCTTTATTTCCATGCTGCATAGAAATAAACACTGCAAAGGAGTCCCATGGACATGTTGCTAAATATCCTGTAGGAAGGAGATGCCCGCCTTTCCTGGTGCCATATGGGCAGAGCTGAGAGCCTAAATACTGGAGGAAGCTGGTGGAAAGAAACAGCTGGGTTATGTAATTGAGCTCTGCTGACTACTACAAGGTGTAAAGCCAAGGCACTGAAGAGCAAACCAGATCTTTCCTCTACTTCCAAGATGGTCCTTAGAGTATGGAGACAGCAAATAAAAGATGATGGAATGATTTGGGCTGGAAGGAAACTTAAAAATCATAGTTCCTACCTTCCTGCCATAGGCAAGCATGCCACCTTGAAAGATGCCCTTAAGTAGATGACTACTCCTCCCACCTGTGTGCATTTAAACACTCTATGGAGAGGTCCACTATGCTTCACTTTATGGATATAAAAGGTAGGTGTGTGGTATCTAGCAGCTCCCTGCAGTAAACCGCATTGCCAGAGGCTATCACTTAATGTTTCTGTTGGATGTCTCTGTTTGGAGAAGTTGAATCTGGAAGATTCTCTCTTCCCTGACTAGATGATGGGCAGTAAAAACACTGGCTCCAATGGGACAGTTTAATTTGCAGGTATCCAAATTATTCTTTATGAAAGATGGCATGAGTAGAGCTTCAACTGACAATGACTGGAACAGCAGAAGGGGAATCAGACATAGCATGAAGTCTGTGGCAGAAGGAGCAACGAAACAGGAACCTCCTGTCCAAGTTTCACCACGTAACCCAAACATCATTGCTTTAATGCTCTACAGAGTCTTCCTGACACTATATTATTGTGCCTTTTCTTCTACCAAAAATGATTGTTTGAGGCAAACCCATATTCCCATATTTATTTTGTGCCCAGCCCCAAACCCAAGAAGAAAAGACAGATCAAGGGCATGAAACCAGACTGGCATTGGAGTGGCCTGTTTGTTTATTTTGTAGCATGCAACTAACTGATTGCTTGCTTAAGCAAGGAAATTAGAGTGATATTTTCACTTTGCAGTGACATTACCTCCAAGGAAACTCAATCCTGACTTGACCACAGTCCCTGGTATTTCTTCACCCTCCTCCCCCCTCCTCACCTCATTTTTTACAGCCTTCACAAAACCCAAAGGTTAAAAGGTCCACAAAAAACCCATGTTATCTGTCAAGCATCCCCTGTGGTTGGAGATGGGCAGCATTATCTCAGCCATTCCTACTCCTCTCAGTTCCTACTCAGCACAACCAGTGGTCCTGGTGGGAGAGTTCCCCAGCATAACAAGAGCTAATGCTAGAAACTTCATTAAGTGGCTCATGTGAGCATTCAAGTGTGTGCCTTTCCCTTGGTATCAATGAGGAGGGAAAAAATGAGCCTAAATCATGCATATTTTAGAAAGAAGATGGAGACATTGTTAACATAAGCCCTTAGTACACACACTTGAAATCAATCAATGCCTGGAGAACTGTAGTGCTTACTTCTCTTTAAACAGCCTTACAGTATGCCTCAAGCAGCAGTTGTACAAACAGGTAAGAGACCAGCAATTCTTACAAACACATTAAAAATGCAGAGATAGAGCCAGGTACTTACATCCATTTTATCCCATAGCACAGCCCTGTCTGCAGAATCCACAACAGAAAACCAGCTAAGAAAAATCGCAGGCTTGGCTTCATTTTCTCCACTTTCTCCTGCTAGCCAAAGGAAACCAGCTTCTCCAAAGAATTTTTTTTTAAAAAAGGAGTTTTCTTAATATTTTGTGCAATGTATTTTCCTTCAGTTTGGGTATTGCTTGTTCTGGGAGATGAATAACCTGAAAGGAGAGAGAGAAAAAGCCCAAGCTACAGTTAACTCTGAAGTTTAGCGAGTCACTGAGAGAGAGAAATCTATTATCCAAATTGCAAAGGAGTGGTTTATGAATCATGAAAAGGTTTGGATTATCTCTTCTCAGTCCCCTCCTTGCCAAGCCTTGATACAACCTTTTGAGTCAACAGACAGACAAACCGTATGGGTTGAATTACATGGAGTTATGGTCTGATTGTGTGTTTCCCTGTTGTATTTAACCCTGCACATGGCAAGACGTCATTCGGTGCTCCACTTTAGTGTTTTGGTTTTTTTTCTTCCCTTTTCCAAAAAGTTTGTGCAACTGCTCAGGAAGAAGAAGAAAAAAAAAATATATATCTTTAGACTAAAGATCTTCAGCTATTCATCTCTCCCTTTCCTCTCTCCAGATTTCTTTTTCCTCTCTCTTTTTCTGCAGAGAAGACAAATAATAAAAACTGCATTTCCTTACTTAATGCAGATGCCCTTTCCCTGCAGATGTTTCTCTCTGATCTGTTACAATAAATGTGTTTTGCTCTTTACCTTTTGCTTTTCTTCTCACTTCATTAACTCTGCCTCTCACTTCTTCCAAGTCCTTGGCACCTGGAGCTCACGGAAAAGGTTGCAACTCTGTAAACATAAAATCCCCTTTTTGTCTCCAGGGAGCAGCCTGGAGGAGACAAAAAAGCTCTCAGGGATACCCCCACACCTCCTTTCTTTTTGTTGATTTTTTCCTTCTATAGGCAAAACAGATAAACAAACCAGGTGCAGGACTTAAATCCTTAGAGGGGTCCTCTCTGTCTCCAGGGCATGGCTTGCTTATTTTAGCAGAGGTATTAACCGCAGTAAATGGGTTTCCCTTCAGTTATTCGCTTCAGACACCGCTCTGGGCTGCTTTTTGCGGTCTTTGCAGTGGTTTCCCATCCCATGAGAATGACAATAGCAAAATAAACAGAAAAACCTGCCCACCACATTGCATCCCTGGAGCCTCACAACTCATCACATAGCAGACTGACACAAGCAAACTGTAACTGTGCATCCCCCCACATCAACCTCTCAAAGGCGTTTAGGAAGAGAATGGTTGGAGCAGTCAGCTTCACTTTGGGAAGCCTCTTACCCTGGAAAAAGGGTATCCTACCTGATTCCCAGCTCTGGATTTGCCCAACTGCAGCTTTCTGCCTAAATATCCCCATTTGGGGAGCAATTGAGGGGAATGAATATTTCTGACTGCTTTCTCTGCCATCTGCAGCGTATTTTTCTATCCAGTGTGCTTTTTGGCTATCTCAACCCCAGCGCCTGGTGTAAAGGGTTACTAGAGAAGTGCTGTTACTACTAAGAATTTTAATGACCTCTAGGGGTGAGTTCCTGGCTCTCTTGAAGTCCAAGACAAAACTGACTGCCTACAAAGGAGGCAGTATTTCATTGCCATGAATTGTTTTTCTTTAATGCCCACTTGGATTTGGGTTTGATGCTTCCCTTGAAGGCAGTGCTCTCATAAGCATCCAGACATACAAGCTTCTTGTTTCAGAGTATTTTTGTATCTCTTAATCTTTGGGAGCCCTTTTCTTCCCACTGCTCTACAAGCACGCTGGAAACCTTCAACCCTTAATTCTGCCCATGCCTTTCAGTGTCTATTGAGGTATTTCAGACCCCTTCAGTGAACTGCTGAACAACACGAGGACTGGGTGTAAAATGTCTTAGATGGTCTAAAACACTCTCACTAAACCTGACCAACCACCACAATTCCCTACTTTCCTCCCCTGCCTTTAAAAAGTCACAGTTTGGGGGTTTTTTCAACCCCTGGAGAAGAAGAGAAGTTATCTAATTCCCCCATACCCACCCAAAGAACTTCAATTTGCAGTTTGCATGCAATTGCACCCCTTTTATTTGGAGAGGCAATAATGCCTTTTCCCACTCAGTCCAGCTCATCACAGATTACATTTGCAAGAGCAATTTGCAAGGGGTCAGGGGGGACACACTTGGGGGCAGATGGGATGTTTACAGCTCTGGTGAACTCTGGGTCACTGATCAAACCAACAGCAAGTGGCCCGTGGACTCCTAAAAACAGGAGCTGTTTTTAACTCAAAGCTCTCTTTTCTCTTCACCTCATGGCTCTGGCACACAGAAAACACTCCCATCAGACACCTCTCTGGACTCAGTAATTGGAACAGGCAATTTTAACTGTACATAAACCCGTGAGTATCCAGCTCACATTCTTCCATTTTTCCCATCCAGGAAACAAAGACATCCACCTGACTCTGCTGCCAGCCTGCAGCTCTCTCCAGAAGCACAGTAGCCTGGTTTAGGGGTAGCATATCCCCAGATGACCTGCAGTGAGGACTGGGAGCACAGAAAAGGAATAGAGGGTGGTGCAGCTGATTCCAGCTGCCGGGTCTCACCAGTCCCTTGCTGCCTTCTGGTTCCCCCTTCTCCCCTGCAGCCCCTGGACGTCCCCACTACCCTGCAGCCTCCCGGACTCCTCTCTGCTCTGCAGCTCCTTGCATTGTCTTGCACATTTACAGCTTCAAGTCCCCCACCTGACTTCAGCCCCTGGGTCTCCAGTCTCCCAACTCTTGGGTGTCTCCTCTTCCCTGCCGCTCACCGGGCGCGGGTCTCTCCACCCTGTGCGTCTCCCTCTCCCCTAGGTCCTCCCCTCCCTCCTGCACTCATACTTCCCCCCGCTGGGTCTCAGGTCTCTTAATTCAGCCTCCGAGTCTCCTCCTTCCTTGCATTCCCCCGGGTATCCCCTCTCCCTTGCAGTCTCCAAGCCTCCCCTCTTCCGTGCATTCCCTCAGTTCTCCCTGCCCCATGCATCCACCCGGGTCTCCCGTTTTCCTTGCAATTCTCCGGGTCTCCCTTTTCCTTGCATACTCCAAGTCTCCCTTCTCCCTTGCAGTGTCCAATCCTCCTCTCTCCCTGGCATCTCCTCCGTCTGCTTTGCAGCCTCTAAGAATCCTTTCTCCGTCGAACCCCTCGGCGGTCTTCCTCCTCCCACGCATCCTCCGGGATGCATCCCCTCTCCTTGGAATTCTTTCCACGCCTCGCAAACCCCTGTTCACGGCCAGCCCCGCACCTTCGGCTTTTCGAGGGGCTCCGCTGTCCCCTTCCCACCTCTCTGGGCAGTGGCTCACATTCCCTGGCGGTCTCCGCTTACCTCCGCCCGGGCCGGGCTGCGCAGGGACCGGAGCCGCTCTGGCGGGGCGGCCCCCGGAGTCGCCTTATATGCGGCCCCCTCGGCTTTGATATGCGGAGTGATGTCAGCTCGGATTAGCATAACAAAAGGCTCCGCGCCCCGCGGATGCCTCCGCGGGCAGGGCCGGGACCCCGCGGGGCTCCGTGCATCCCCCTGCCCGCGCCCCATCCCGGCACAGCCCCTCGGCAGCGGGGCCGGGCGAGCGGGGGAGGGCTCGCATCCCCGCGGCCCCCGGGGATGGCGGGGACCCGCCGGAACTCCAGGGTGTTATTCTAATCAGCGGCTAATGATTAGCAACAAAAATAGCGAGTCGGTGTTTTTGCCGGCACGTGGGCGCTCCCCGGGGCGCTCCGCGCTCGGAGCTGAGTGACCGCTGCCCGGGAAAGGGACAAGGACACTTGTCACCCTCGGGGCTGTCAGGGACATCTGGGTCTCCTGCGAGGGTAGGGAACCACTGCCCGGGGTAGTCCTGGCTCTTGTGGTGCCTCACCACGTCCTGCAGGTTCCACAACCTCTTCTCTGATCGTCTGTAATCGGCGGAAAGAGCAGATGTTGAGGTCTGGTTTTTGCTTTCAGGTCGGTTTCGGGGCTGGAGGCTTGGTGATTGCCTGCTAGAGAAAAAGACAAAGGAAGGAAAATACAAAAAGAACAAAAGGAAAGAAGGGGCGGGGGGGGGAAAGGAAAGGCAGCAAAACGGAAAAGGAGAAGAGAAAAAGAAGGAAAGGAAAAACCAAACACGTATAAGAAAAGAGGAAAAGTAAAAAAAAATTAAAAAGAGAAAGAAAAATGAGAAAAGCAAAATAAAATTAAAAAATTAAAAGAAAATAGGAAAGAAATAAGAAAAGAGAAAGGGGGGAAAAGAAAAACGGAGGAGAGAAAATCAAAAGAATAAAAGCAAAAATGAAAAAATAAAAAAAAAGGTTAATGAAAAGGAAAAATTAAAATTATAAAAAAAAAGAAAGGAAAAATGAAAGGGAAAAATGAAAAAAAAAAAGAAAAACAACAAAAGAAAAACGACAAATGAACAAAGAAAAAAAAAGGAAAAACATGGAAAATAAAAGGAAAAGAAAAAAATAGAAGAAAAAATATTAAGATTAAAACCCTGTAAGAAAGAAACACAACTGGCTTCTGAAGATAAGGCCTCATGAGTCTGAATTTAAGACATCTGTCAGCTATGGACTATGAAAAAATGGATGTTAGTTGCAAAAGTACTTGTGTAATTATTTTCATTTGGTTTAATTGTGGGTTTCAGGTGAAAGGAAAGAAGATAATAAATGCTTTAGTCCCTGGATCAAGAGACTCAAAACAGCTTCCTTGCAGTCCATTTTCAGGACAGCTATTATATAGGATAATTTTTTTTTATGTCTGTGTCCCTGTGCTGATTGCATTCATATAAACAAGTCACAAAAGGTCCTGTGTGAACGGCAAAGAACCCTGTATAAACCATCCCAAATTCCCAAAGCCACTATATTATTTGTATAAGACTCAGTTTTGCCAGCAGCTTTGAACAGTATATCCATTTTTCTTTGTGTGACAGTTGCCCAGAAGCACTCAAACTGCTCCAAACTTCCATTTCCCTGGCCCTTCTCCCATCCACTGACCCCCAAAAATGTGTACCTATGGGGAGAAGGTTTTATCAGTGTTCTCCAAGGAGGACTTATTTACATGGGGAAATTGCCTGGTATATCTATTGCAGTCTGATTTGCTGTGCAAATACTCTGATTTCTGTATAAATAGCCTTTTTCAAAATTACCTTAAAGGGCAGTAGGGAAAATGCAGTTGTTATTAGTCAAAAGGAATAGAAGTAGTAAGTTGTTGCAGTTGTGATACTCATGATTATGCAGTAGGCACCTGCCATGCTCAGAACTGTGCAAACAGCACAGCTAGATGAGTCCTACCACAGGATCTTCATGGGCTTGATATTGCTGCCGAGAGGTGACTGGCCTTAATAGGTGCTGAGAGGTGATGGTGTGGAGGAGGAATATGGAAAGAAGGAGATGGTTCCAATCTGTGTGGTTTTCTTCAGTGCTAACAGTTTGTTAAGGCAGAATCATGGAATCATTAAGATTAGAAAATCCCTGTAAGATCATCGAGTCCAGGACTGCCAGGGCCACCACTATACCATGTCGGACATGTGGAGGAATCATTAAAAAATGGCAATGGACTACAAGTATCTGTTTATTGCAGTGTCCATGGGAGCTGCTTGTCCATGTGTTCATCAGGACAGGACATAGGAGATATGAGTGAAAAGGTGGGGCAGAAAGTAAGAAACCAGAAGGAAACATTCATAAAGGATATAGGATAAATATGCTCTGCACTATCCACATGCATACAGGGAATTATTCAGGAAGAGCCTTGGGAAGTTTAAAACCATTCTAAACCTTTAATCTGAGAAACTTTTGTGCAC